GAAGTTGAGGTGAATGTGACTGACGCAGAGGCAATCACACACAGTGAAGCTGTGCAATAACACCTCAAGGCAAAGTGAGAGGTTAGAGGAAGCCTGCTTACCAGCTTGTTGTTGACAGTCCTTCTGATTGACTGCAGTCCACGAAATAATGCTGAGTTCAGTTTGTTGTAGACAAGAGGCACGAAGCATGGAACAAGTGTTTGGATAGATGTTGCCATCCGAGGCACAAACCTCGCCTGTTGTCAATTGACATTTACCAGCTGTCTCCAAATCCCGAAGCGAAAGGCAGACACACACAGCGACCATTGATGAGGCAATATCATTCCACGTCTCGCATATGGCGCCAGGATGGCACTGCTTCTGTAAGCATGGATCCGCCTCTACAACGCATACAATTGGCAAAAACAATGCTTCTTCTGACATCTATTTTGGTTCTCTCCTTTTACCATCAGCCTCCAACCAGTAGTCGCTCACCCTTCTTTTCGTCACTAATAAACCGTATTTCTGTTTTGATTCATCTTATCACAGTTTCGAGGACAAATCTGGGCGCCGCACACTTTTCTCAATGCGCAGCATTCCTTTTGACTCACTCAAAGGCCCTTAATTTCACATCGGTAAAAACCACGAAAAAAAGGAGCCACGATTTAAACACATTTATACCAACCAAGGTGATGTCAAAGACAAATTTTTAAGTGGGTAGTCAGGTGGAGTATAAAATGTGCAAAAACAATTAATATTAGTTATTAAAAACACACCCCTGTCTACTAGTGAAAAGGCACACTAGACTACCAACCCCAAAGGTATAAATCTGAGGGTCTAAAATAAATGGCGCTTGTGCACCAAATTTACGCCACGAAATTCATTCATTATTCAAACAATGATAAGATGGATGGTAAAGAGGAAAATTATGCAGAGAGTATCAGTGGTAGACACCTTTATTAGCGACTACTTCCTCGCTTTCTACTATAGTCCGGAAGGAAAGAAGCGCTTGTCTTACCGTGGGTGGAAAATGTTTTTCAGCCCCGTGTCCCTGTTTTTGAGGCTTGGATTTCCTCTGAAACGTCTTTCAGACTGGAGGCAGACTCAATCTACCATATCTTGTAGTAATTTAAAATAAAATTTTTTACTTAATCAAAATAAAGAAGTCAGTTGCAAAAAACGTGTTTAAGTGTTTCTGAGCCTCAAATCAGCACATATTTTGTTCGTGTACACTAAACACCCCTCAGAAGGCTCAATTTTGGTGCACTTACACGCAATCGAAAGAGTTACCAAACAAGCAACTCCAAACTAGGTCCTATCATTGATGCGTCTTAATTGCTATGATCATTTATTTCAAACAGGTAAAAAGTGTAGACAAAAGAGACTTGTTTTCCCAGGCTTCTTACCCTCCCGTATAAGTCGAAATTAATCTCAGCTCAGCAAAACTCACAAGCGCTCAATTAGGACAAATATTTTATAGGTTTATTTGATCGTTTGGAAAGGTTAAAATGTCAAAAGGACAAAGTCTCGACGATGACTTTAATTGGTGTTTATTCGCGACCACACATTCACTTTGTAATATATTTTCAGAAATTTCGAAATTCCTCACAAACGTGAAGATTATTGAGTTAATTCGTTAAAACATTTTCTCCTAATTGTGCCGATTTTTGAGTGCTATTTACCCTTTAAATGATGACCAATCCTTTACTCCCTCTAGCAAAATATTTAATTTTGTTGAGACTCACCCTATTAGTGTTTTTATTACGATTAAAGATACTAAAATGTAGGTTTATTATTTAATTCTGACGTGTTGTATCTTTTGAGCAGGTGTCAACGACTAGTTATGGCCTTTGTTTTAAATAAAAACGCGAAATTTACGAATGAATCGTCTGTAAGGGCGTTATTTACGGGTCTGCGGTTATGCGAAGCGTGGAATCCGAGGTTAGTTTGAGGCTAGTCTTGTTTTCAGTAGCAGCGAAATTATTTCTCTGTGCAATCTTTACATCGTCCAAGGCATGATTCACTCCAGTCACCTAGTGCAAAAAAACATCAGCCCAATCACATCGCATGGCCTCACGGAATGCTCTTTCCACACCTGGCTTCGAGCAGGATGCTTGGCCTCGATTACAGGTTGAGAAACACCACCGCTCTGACCACTCTCTCCATTCTATTATTAGACTAGATTTTCAAAATAAAGCAAAGTAGTAACTACTCAAGGCAAATATTAATGAATTTTGCTTTAAAAAGAATCTTTGGGAAGTAGAGGTCCCACATTTTTCTACCTAAATTTTTAGCTACCACCTATACTGCTCGGGTTTATTTCCAGTTAAAATTGGATCCTTGATTTGCAGTTGTGCATTAGTTTTGGCAATCGAAAACATTTAAATATCATCAAAGAACGTAATACAACAGCTAAACTACCGAGGCAATGATTTTGCGTCCTCCCATTTACCTAATTTGCTTCTCGTGGATAGCTTTTCTGTATTCAGTTCATTGTTAAGCATGAAGCCTTCGAGGCGAGGGATGTTCTTTGTGTTGAGAATTTAACTTTATTCGGACCAATAGAAAGCAGATGATCATTGTCTGAAAGTGCTTTTCCTTCACCAAGAAATCCTCCAAATTTTACACTTTTAAACCATCAGCACATCCAACCACCGTTGTTACGCTGACCATTGTCGGCCTCTAAAAAGCATTGATATCGCCTGGGTTGAAATGGTAGTGCATGTCCCAAACTGCACGATGCACGATGCCCAATGCATTTGTGCGAAAGTAGACGCACTCCGACTTCTTCAGTGCCAAATGTCATCGTTTGCAGTTTTTAAGTGTTGCGCTGAGATATGATTCTCGACTGCAATGCATTTCGCACGTGGTCTCGCTCCCCTTTACACAGTCCTGTTCTTGTCCTGCTATGTAATCATGCTCAAGGACAAAGACAAGTGTCCCGTCCTTCCAGAATCCCACTTTTTAATAGTATCGAAAGATGTCCACAGATTATTTTACGAACTATTTCGTCCAATTTTCTTTAGTAAAAGCTGAATTGTCGTTTGTGGCAAGCAAATGTCCTTGTTTATTTCCACTGTTCTTGATAATATGGAGTGAGTTAATGGATTACCATGTCGTGAGCTGTGTAGGTGCAAAAGACACTACCTATCATTGCTTGGAAGTGACTACCACTGTTCTACAGGAAAGATTCTTTTTCCTACCACTGATTCTTTACAATAGTCCGAATTAGCGCGCAGTGGATGGCACTGTTGATGCTCTAATGAAAATAACTGTTGGATAGGAAAGTCGGCTCAAACTCGCAAGATATACGTGTTTGTACAAGCTGCCAATGTCACGTGTCCACTCAGTTGGTACCGGGAAAATTGCTTATTAAAACAAATCGTGTCGCCTCTAGCATATCACCTGATCAACTTACTCAGGTGAAGGCAGATCATTGATTTTAAAATCAACATTGTCTATACTACTTATCATTGTTCCTATTTAGTCATAAGTAGTATGTGCATGAATTATCTGTATCAGTTTTTTCCAATCGTTTTAGCTACGCCAGTTACGATTTCGGATACTTTGGCCAATTGTTTTGCTGAGGCGTTTGAAGATTTGGACTCTCAAGACGTGGTTCTTGCTGTCAGACTAAAGACAGAAAGTTGAAAATCGGTTATTTACTCTCAAATGGATTATGATGGGTGGATTTCGGCAGTCTGATGCTATCGAAACAGTTTTATACGTGTGAGACTACTCCAATTTGTTAAGAGATCTGGAGCCTAGCCAAGTCACACTCGCATCAAAATTTTCTCACAAAACATAATAGAAATGCTTCCACAGGTCATACTACTCACATTTAATTGGGTAAAATTTTGTGAACAACAAAATGCTGTGCTAAGATTTCGGTCCCCTTCAGCAAACTAATGAATCTCAACTTCAACAATGTGCATAGCTGTGTGACGAAAATTTTTTGTGACATACACAGCTTCAACTGAAATCCCTTTGAACAGTTTAAGGGGATTGTTTAAAGTACGCAAAAAAGTCGTCAATGTAGAAGCAAAAATTGCCTAGCTTATGCTTCATTTGTGACGAGGTGTCATTAACAGGGCAGTGAGTAAAGCCAGACTGTTGGTTCTGTCCCAGACACATGTCTGCTTCCATCACCTCTTCGTTGTGACAAATTCAAGCAATGCCGCGTGTAGGCCTGAATTTGTTGCCCCGTAAAGTATTTACTGGCACAAAAGGCCGTCAACTCGTTGTCAGTTTGAAGAAGCATGTGTGTCAAGGTGCTGTGTTTTAGTCCACAAATCACCAAAAATATGCAAAATATATTCAGACACAAATGTGTGTTTCTCCCCATGCCGTTTCAAACAGACTTTGTGGCGGTGGCGACTAAATTGTGTATGTCGACTGCCGATGACACAGCGAATTCAGTGGGTGGTGGCTTTAAAATCAAACTGTCTACCAGCGGGCACAAACGAAGCCTCAAGAAAATGTGTCTTCCTGATGTTTGTCTGGTCTACTAAATGCAGACTTTTGCTTTGCGCGTCTCACGCCTTTACAAAGCATTTCTTATGTCGTGAGGTGATTTGCCAGTCTCGGGTTGGTTTTTTATAATAAAAAGTAATGCTATTGTTTAAAACAACAAACGATTTGAGAGCAGTGCATTAAAATCATATAGAAATTTGGAGAAAGCATACATACCGGAGTGTCGGACGATTTGAACAATGAATTTTGGTGCAATTCCATCCAATATCTGACTTCCTGCCCACATCTGTTGTTTGCCGATGAGAACGGCGGAGACACAAAGGGGACTTGGGAGGTACCCTTCGATTCGATTTGCATGAAGTCTCAGTGCTTGGGTGGGATCGGAGAGGATGCGTTCCACCTTAATAACAACCTTAACACCATCTGAGTAGCTTTCCGTGAGCACTTCCGCCGTTCCACTAAAAGTCGTGTTTCTTAGGCCAGTATAGTCAGCAAAACATATGGGACTGCTATCTGAAGATGCTGTTGGCAGTGGTGAAAGAATGAGTGCAAGAATGAGGGGATATCTGCAAAGCATTTGTGGCTAGATCATTGATTCCTAAGCAAGTGAAGCCAAGCGAAATTGTGATGCGATTGTGTGATGCTTTTGTTGCATCAATCTGATTGGCTTGTGCCCGTGTAGTCGTGGGCTTCTCGATGAGAGTTCAGTTGAGCAAGGCTGAGTCAAAATGAGGTAATTGGATTTTTCAGCGCGGATACGAAGTAGTGAAGGCGAAAAATTGCACTGAAAGAGTAGAAATGTAATCATTGGTCAGCATTTTGTTTGCCTCATCGTGATTGGTAGACGAAATGCACAAATACCGTAAATTGGAACTATAGTTATATATTAGTAAAAGGGTCCCACCATCTCAAAAATAAAGCTGATATTAATCCAAAACATGGTAAACAATTCTGTAGAGTCACAAGTAATGTAACGAAAGTACCCTTACATATCCACAGTAAAGAAGTGTAATATTTCGGAAGTGAAGCCACAAATAAGATGCATTAATACAATACTCACTGAAACTGTTTTTTGGTGTCCAAAACAATTGTTGGTGAGTAAAATTATGAATAGCATGATGCAAATAGAATCGTTATTGATTTGAAATCATAACAATTCAACAAACATATACTAATTAAATTGCTACTTATGATAAATAAGTAGTTGATACAGTTTATAAAAGTGCTTTAAAAGTAAAGTCATTGTTGCGCAAACTTGATTAAGTTTTAAGAGTATTTTAAGAAAAATTTAAGTTACAACCACAGCTTACAATTGCAGTTGGTTTTGAACGTAAAAAGTTAATTTGAAGCGTCTTATTTACTTAATCAGTTTTCAATAAACATAAATTCCCAAAGTTTTACCATAGCATTGGCGTAGTAGATGGTTGGACGACCAGTAAAAGTCGCAAAACCAAATCACCAAAGCGCCCACTGTAACGCATTTCTTAAATGTCTATAGTAACATCCTATTCCGGTTTTGTAATTAGCAACTACTGATTACAGGAAATACTTATCTCTGACAGGATAATTGGGGCTTGGTTTAAGGAGACTGGCTCTCCTCAGTTTACAGCACTTTTCAATCTGGAAGGAGCACTTCATTTTTAAACATTCTACTTATTTCACTCAGCTATCTAAATGGTGGTGGAAGTAGCAGTAGAAGAAAGATAAAGATGACAAAACGACGAAGGAGTGGGAGGAGCAGCAGCAGCAGCAGCATAAGCGACAGAAAGAGTAGGAGAGGAAGCAGAAGGATGATATAGGGAAGGAGAAGTGTACGATAAATAAACAGTTGTTTCCATACTAATGTGCAACTTGTGTCGTGGTGTGTCTAACAGGCAGAAGTCAGCTGTCAGTGAGTTAACAAGTTGGGCTAAACGATTACATTTTGCATTGCCTGCCACACACAAAAGCAAAGAGATTCGGTAGAGACGCAGCGCAATATGTAGGTAACCTTCAATAGTCAACCAAAGTAAATTTTTTTCTTGGCTAGTGCTCTTCTATCAAAATATTTTCCTTTACCACCATTTACTGAGGCTGTCAGTCAGTCTGTAACCTTTCAACAGTGTGCTTTAAAGAGTTGTGCCTCCAAAATGTTACGAATTAAAAGCCATCTCCCAAAATGTATTATTCCCCTTTCCTTGTTGCTTTTATTGGGTGCGGAAGACATTTGATTCGTCAATTTAGGGAGTTTAAGTAACTGCCTCATTATTTGCATTGAACTACAAAGTAGTTAGCTGACTGTCCATTCCAAGTTTGATGCATTCGACATGGCGAGTAATCACGGCTTTACGGATCTAATTGTGCTGCGTTCTGGCCCAGCACCCTCACAAAACACCATCAAGCAATAATTGGAACAAATTTCCACCACCATCGTACCAATAGGGAAGTGATTTTTAAGAACACGAAGACTCGCTTTGCCAAAACTACATGGAAGACGAATTGGTTCGGAGTGGGAAAGAAAAGTGGGGCGTAAGCACACGATCCAATGCCCTCCGATTAGGTTGACTTGGTTTTACCTCGGCTTTTCACTGGCAGTGTGTACAGGAAATTTGTCAACCGTAGCGGTGGCTTGTGCCCGACAACTTGACACGATTTTGGTGAGGTTTTGGTAAGGGATAAAGACGAAAAAATCGCGTTAAAAATCCTCGATTCTTTAAAGCTTGATTCCATGCGCATTAAAATTGCCTTTATAATGGTAGTTGTTTGCAAATTACTTTCAAGACATTTTGCAATTCCATCTTGGATTAATATCTTGGCATCTCAGAAGTTGTGCTTGCGGGAGACTCTGCGAACATAGGAAAAAAATTATGAGAGACTCATCTAACAGCCTCATTGCCAACTACATCTAATTATTTGAATGGAAGGGGTTGCTTGCCTGCTCAAGCAACAAATTTACCCAGACTGTCACATTGGTCCGCTGCACATTCGCGGCTGTCGAAGAACGATAGCTCAAGCCTCTGAGAAGACTTTTAACTTTGTGCGTTCGCTTGCTTAGCCACACCCGTTTTAGGGAGGTGGTGATTACCTCGAAGTGAAACACCGCCCAATTTTGGTGAGAATCGCCTTTCAGTTCGCAGTGCGTGAAGTGGCTTATCGCACCATTTTCTCGCTCATTGTTGCAATTGAAGATATACCAACTCCATGAGCGAAAGCAGCGCCAAGAGTTCAGTAAGTTAGTGCCGATTAAATTGAAACTTTTAAAATTATTTTTTGCTCTTTTACCATCAATTGCTACGAGAAAGTGTGTAAGGTTTCCTCGCATGATGGCTTCTTTATTAAGTTTTATTACTAATTAGGAGATCATCTTCACACTGAACTATAAAATTAAATAGGAAATGAACATTTTCATTCGCTATTTTATTACCATACAATCTCTCCACTCTGTGTCTTGAACCTTTTCACCTCGTTTCAACCCCAACCTAAAATTGTGATTTTGCATCGTTTAAGTCAGTCCTAACTCTCAATCACACTTTCTATCTCAAAACAACAGTTCAGAGAACCTTACAGAAGGTTTGCATGGACTTCCTTGTGTCACCCAAAGTGGTACGTTTAGTGGCGATTTCCTATTGGCTTGTAAAGCGAGACGGTACAGGCTGGAGCCTGTGTGCCAACCAATCAAAATCAGCCCACCGGGAGCCTCTCTAGCCAGTCAGATTTGTTGTGTCAATTTGATAGTCATTTTGGTTAAAAATGACCGATTTTGGGAGCAAAACTGTACCGTTTCATGGAAGCTTGATAAGTGCTTCCCACCTGTGCTGCATGGTCATCTCCTTTAAGTAAAATGCTTTTTCGCGTGCACGTTTCGAATGCAACTTCTAAAAGTGATTAAACAGGCTTACTCTTCCAACTACTATTGCTTCTACATATTTTAGCATTTCTCAATCTATCACAACTTCCGTTAATTAAAGTCACCAATTAAGGAGGTCATCCATTGGCAGGTCACACTTGGTGAATACTTGACTGTAACTGAGTCGTTGGTCCGCATTTAGAAAATTAACTCTCAGCTGAACAAAACTTCAAATTTGGTGGCTCATCTTCAGTACGTTTGAGACCTTTATTTTACAAAATCCTGTACATGCATGCTTCATTTTATACGCAATAATACTGCGACTCTTACATGTCTACTAAAATCATCAATGCTACACAAATTTGTGCAATTACTTAAAAAAAAGGTTGCATTATAGATTTTATTGCTAGGAAACTTTTCCTGTTTTGTGGGCGAATCGCAATGTTTGCACGAAATAGTTGGTTAGAACAAGTTGTTATCGCACTTGTGGATGCAGCAATAATAAGGTGAAAGAGAAAGAGAGAAGAAGGCAGATGGTCGCGAAAGGTGGTGGATGAGAATGTTTAATGTTGTTGGTGATAAAAGAAGCGTGAATATGGGTGATAGCCTATGGAAGACGAAGAGTCGCTATTCTCCTCCTCCTCCTCCTCCTCGTTGTTGTTATTGTTGGTGGTGTTGCTGTTGTTCTCGTCGATTTAGAAGCACTTGCGATGGACGATTCCAGGACCCGATTCGTCATATTCTTGCTTGGAAATCCACATCTGTTGGAAGGTGGAGAGTGAGGCAAGAATGGAGCCACCGATCCAAACGGAGTACTTGCGTTCAGGTGGTGCAACAATCTTGATTTTCATAGTGCTGGGTGCCAGAGATGTGATCTCTTTTTGCATACGATCAGCAATACCTGGGTACATGGTGGTACCACCAGACAAGACAGTGTTGGCGTAGAGATCCTTTCGGATATCCACATCACATTTCATGATAGCGTTAAAGGTGGACTCATGAATACCAGCAGATTCCATACCCAGGAAGCTGGGTTGGAACAGCGACTCAGGACAACGAAAACGCTCATTGCCAATCGTAATGACTTGACCGTCAGGAAGCTCATAAGACTTCTCAAGCGAGGAGCTGGAGGCGGCAGTAGCCATCTCCTGTTCAAAGTCAAGCGCTACGTAACAGAGCTTCTCCTTGATGTCTCGAACAATTTCACGCTCCGCAGTCGTGGTGAAGGAGTAACCACGCTCGGTGAGGATCTTCATGAGGTAGTCAGTGAGGTCACGACCTGCCAGATCGAGACGCAGGATGGCATGAGGCAGAGCGTAACCTTCATAGATAGGCACACTGTGAGTGACACCGTCACCCGAGTCGAGCACGATACCAGTGGTACGACCAGAGGCGTAAAGGGACAACACGGCCTGAATGCCAACGTACATGGCCGGGGTGTTGAAGGTCTCGAACATAATCTGAGTCATCTTTTCGCGATTCGCCTTGGGGTTAAGTGGTGCCTCAGTTAGTAGCACTGGGTGCTCTTCAGGGGCAACACGCAACTCATTGTAGAAGGTGTGATGCCAAATCTTCTCCATATCATCCCAATTCGTCACAATGCCGTGCTCAATGGGATACTTCAGAGTGAGAATGCCGCGTTTTGACTGAGCTTCATCTCCAACGTAGCTGTCTTTTTGACCCATACCAACCATGACACCCTAAATGATAAATAAAACAATAACTTAATTTTCCACCCTAAGTTGTTGCTTCCTAGTCACTTAATAGATACAAGTAAACTGCTTTCTTTAAAGAGGATGACAAACCTGATGACGAGGACGTCCAACGATGGAGGGGAAGACAGCACGAGGCGCATCATCACCTGCAAATCCGGCCTTGCACATGCCAGAGCCATTATCAACAACGAGGGCCTGAACTTCTTCGTCTCCCATGGCAAAATTGAAGTGAAGTAGATGAAGAGTTGCTTTGTGCGATAGAGTCCAACCCCGTTCAGTCCACCTTACCGTTTTTATAGCTCCTAGGTAGGCATATATGGTCTACCTCTTGCTGATTGGTTGGGAAGGGTGCAATCGCACAGCACATTCCTGCATGATCATTGGTTTGCGCCGGGTGACGAGGCCATGGGCATGCGTACCATAAGCATCGGCCAAATATGGCAAATGAGGGAGGCAGAGTGAACAGAACGATCGATAAACAGTGCGTGCCAGACTTGACGAGGGCAGATTATCGATTGATCGATGTGGTGAGGGAGAGGGGGAGGGGGGAAGGAGGAGGAGGAGGAGGACATGGTGGGGGAGCAATTACCGTATTATGATGCCTTCTTAGGCCCTTAAATGCGATAATTTAAGGAGATCTTTCCTGTCTTTTGGGTGAAATTTCTTGTCTACAAGCCGCTAACCTGATTAGGGCATTCCAGTTGGCCCCTCTTGTTCCATCAACTATTTGTTGCTAAGGTAAAGGAGGTCATCGATGCTTGTTTGTCATGCTTATGACATTGGAGAGCGCGAATGCTGATTAGTGTGTGTATGCTCATTAGTCACATAACAAAGGTCTAAAGGCTATAAATTATTATACGCTGAGCCACCTACGAAAACATTTTGTATTTTGAGGCGGCTTCGAATAAATGCCAAATAATAATAATAGATTCGATGATTTTATAAATAGCCATTAACAAGAGCAAACTGAATTGAAAATATGTTTTATCGAAAGCTCCTACTATTGTCTTGACAAGTTTTATGTGTTGAACAGCAGTTGATGGCTGCAACCTGACAAGTCAAGTCTAACATGGATTAAGGAAAGGAGGGAAGGGGAGGGGAAGAGAAGAGGAGGAGGAAAGAGCAAGTTAAAGGACTCAAGACGCTAAATAGGGGTTCCGTGTTGAGCATTAAGACAAATGACTAATGTCAAAATACCAAGACTGTCTATTAGTTCCTTGTTCTATGAAAAGTATGCAAATGATTTGTTGTCAGTATTTTTTTTGACAGCAGACTTAGTTAGGTGTAGATTTTTGCATAAAATACATCACTGAATGTCCACAAAAGATTACTCACATGTTGCACGACTTGACTACCAAATTGTTCGGCTTGCAATACTGCATCCCCACTAAATTGCTTTGCTTTTGGGTGTGTCATGCAGTGCAAAAATACAATCGTTTAGCCCGAATTGTTAACTCACTGACAGCTGATTTCTGCCTGTTAGACGCACCTCGACACAAGTTGCACATTAGTATGAAAACAACTTTTCATTTTTCCTACACTTGTTTCTCTTCACCTCGCCCTTCCCTTCCATCTCCTCCCACTTCTGCTCCTACAGTTTCTCTTTCGACTGTGGCAGCTTAGATTAATGAAATGGGTATGGAAACGGAAGTGCTAAACCTGTTTGACACAGCCCCACATCAAAAGGCTGTAAAAACGCACATCACACGTCGTTGTTGTCGTATTAAAACAACAAAACTTGGAGGACGAGTTGTTAATTGAATTGAGTTACGAAAAAATGAGGTGAAAAGAGATGGTGGGAGAGGCGACGAAACTGCTCCCCACCTTAACCCCACCTCTTTGCCACCCCATCCCATACTTTTCCGGGTGTTATCTATCGCCTCTTCCTGATCTCGGTAGGAGGCAATTGCATGATCGAATGTGAAGTCAACATCAGAAATTGAGAAAAGAGTGTACGAAAACAGGGCATGGATGTCCCAGGCCTTTGTTTGTGGTATACTGCAAACCTGTCTAGAAAGAGCTGTAGGCCTGTGGTTTTGAGCGCGAAGCTCCCTCCACGTGCCCGTCTTTAGCTTTACTTTTATGACCCCTCAAATAGCCAATCAAATTTCTTCCAAGACATAATGCTACAACTTTTTCTTTACTTTTAGCTAAATTTTCAGATTTCCTTTACATGTTCGTCCATTTTTCCCTTTCCAGAATTTTTTCAATATTTGTTTATAAAAAAGTGTAGGTAAACTGTGAGTTGCCGAACATAACTTGGATTTTAAAGGTAATAAATTATGCATGAATTTCTAAAAGTCGACAATTTAAAGGTCCCAGTCCTGGGTACCGGCCTTCACGTCGGTGTACGGGCGGCCACTGCGGTGCCCTGGCCTCAGTTGGTGAGAGAGTTTTTTAATTTAAGGCCACCAGAAGCACCGCGGTTGTTGGAATTTTAAATCTCATGATCAAGAAAAACAACAGGAAATCACTTTTTGTCCCTCTTTTTTTAAAGATTTCTCAGAAGGCTACAAAAGACATTCCGGAATGCGTTATTGAGAGGGCAATTCACTCCTACTGTGAGTTATAAATGTGCAATTCTAATGCCTTATACATTTAAATTTTAATTTTTCGTGCCTTTTATCGCGTGTAGTTTGATAAAATTATGCAAATTTAAAAAAATTTTAGCTAACAGCAGTCTTGCAAAAAGCATAGAGGAATCACGACGCCGAAATTCCAATCTTCTTCGTCCCGAGCAAAGTGGGTAAGAAAAGCTGTCCTGAATTGGTGTCTTCCTTTTAACACATACAACAATTATTTTTAAAATAATATAAAGTGGAGGACAGAAATGTGTCCAGGGGATGAAAAATGAAGTGTTTTTGTGGACTTTTATGTCAAAGGCTCAGCAAATGCGGTGCATTGTTTGTGAATTGCAAATGTGCAAAAACTTGAGTTGTGAAGACAAGCGAAGTAGTCTGGGATACCATTATTCCTTTCTCTTCTTCGTTTTCTACTTGTTTTATTTAGCCTCCCATTCAGTCATGTGATTGCCTCTTACCGAGGTTAGGAAGAGGCGATAGCTAGCACCTGGACAGGTTTCGGATGGGGCGGTAAAGAGGTGGGGCTAAGGTGGAGAGCAGATTCGTCACCTCTCCCACCATCTCTTTTCACCTCATCTTTTCGCATCTCAGTTCAGGTAACAACTCGTCCTCCGAGTTTTGACGTGTGATGTGTGGTTGTACAGACCCTGATGTGAGGTCGTGCCAAACAGGTTTAGCACTCCCATCGCGATGTCTGACTCACTCCTCCCAATGATCAACGTATTGGAGGGGAAAATTAGGCTTTTTATTACAATCTTATTTCGCAAACGTCAGTTTCTGTAGCGTCTCGAGGCTTCCCATAGGGTGGTAGAAAGCATAAATGAGATTGAATGCATGTATTCTGAAGACGACAGGACAAATAGCCCTGGGCATGGCCAGCCCACGTGCACGAGAGCCGGTCAAATCCCAAAGTGACTGCCAAACGTCAGAGAGTCACACAAACAAAGCATTACAGTTCCACCTTTCTATTTAATCACACAGCTGCCTGCCTTTGATGCTAGGAGTTAAGGCTTAGAATAGTAAGAGGTTAAGTAGTATGGACATGAGAATATGAAGGCGGCAGTGTCGTTTCCTCTCTCGCTGCCTCATTTTACCTCAGTCCATCGTCTTCATGTTCTCTTCTTTCCCAATACAATACTTATAGAATAATCTTTGGCAACGCAACTCTTCATCTTCCTCAATTCGTCTTGTTTTCGTGTGCGTGAGGCGCTGCATACTTAAATGCTTATTAAAAAGCTGTTCACACACAGACACCCAGAATGCATCCACCGGATGGAGGGATGAGAATATGGGAGGTGGTACCTTCTTGCCGCCTGACCGTAGGCCGAGGCTGCGGCTTGCTTTAAAGACGCGCGTTTAGTGCAGATTTCTCTCACCTGAAAGTCGCAGTTCTGTTGGACTAAAGCAACGCGTTCATCAAAATTTTGTGGAGTGCGTTGGGTGATTTATAGATGACTTTCACAAATTCAGCCACTACTACACCTAAACAGAAATATAAAATTTTTTAATTTGGTCAAAAGACCGGAGGAAATCTACCTTGTTTGCCACCTATTAAATGTAAAAAATTCTGATTTTATTGCAAAGCAGTTGAATAGCCATCTTGTTTTCCATCTATAAAATGTATCTTTGTTTAAAATAACATTCGGAAAATAAATAATGAAGTCTTTTAAAATCATAACTAATCATCACCTTTTTATCCCCTCCGGATCAGTGTCCCTCTATTATGATCCTATAATTCCAATATCCACGAAATTTTCTCTGTATCTCAACAAAAATCTGGGAGGAGTATTAGTTTGCGAATGCACAAATCATTAATAAATCCTTATTCATATTTTAGTTTTTAAGTATCATTGAAGAGATCAGAAAAGAGATGATACGAAATTAAAATTCCGCTTTTACTAATAACTCCTCGGGACAGCACTATTGACGTCAAAGGAGGAAGCACTTCTTAAACTCCTGCGCATCTTCGATGGAGTTTGCCTGTTTGCTTATCTGCACACATTTCAGCGCTGCGTGCTCCTCTTCGTAGTTTGTACTGTCACGCTCCTCCCACATTGTCTTCACCATCACCAAACAAAAACGAAGAATTGTTGTTTAGAATGGGAGTTCAAATTTGCCCGATTTGTTGTTAAATTCAATGCTTAGTGTTCAAACTTTCCAGAATTTGCCATTATGACACCTGAGGGCTTAAAAATGATTTAGCGCCCTTTTGGTTGAGGAGGTGAATCATACTAACAAGACAGTTGGAAGGAATATCAAAGTGGTGAATTGCAATGAGCAACTCTATTCTACTTGTTGCGGACAAAAAGTACGATCAAGGAAGATCTGCGGTCATATCGGTAAAAACTGGTTGCTTTGGTCTCGCATGGTGGATTGCAGGATCCTTTATACTCAAATATGTTCTTTCCCTGTATTACAAAATTGTTGGCTAGGACTTGTCTACTCGATTTATCTTGAAGCGAGAGGGAAGAGAGGGAGGCCCTAACCTTGTTCTGACTTGGTGAATTGGGATTTTGCTAGATCTCATTATCTCGCAATTAATGCCTTCCTTGTACTCATGACAGGAGCAATAAACATTTACTTTTCCTCGTACTAGACATTGAAAAAGGGGTGGGACAATAAGCAAAATGTACTGTTGATATCGTGATTTCTGCAAATTTATGCTTTGTAGTGGAAAGGTTGATGCTGATTATCATGGGTAAATCAAATAAGATGTCGTAGATCAAAACAAAGAACCCTGTAACATTTGATATCAAAAAACGTGCTTACTTTTATTTTAGCCTGTTGGCAGCAAGCGAAAAACTCACTACTATAGTTGAAACTCGTCTAAGGCAATTGAGACAAAGTTTCTCGCAGAGAGTTGATAAGATTCGAAATCGCGAATTGCGGCCTGATGCAGAAGAACAAACCGAAAGCAGTGATGAGATAGCTACAGACGCAGAAGGTGTGTAACATACTACTTAATATTAGAAGTAGAAACGCAATCATCGAATGCAAATTCATAAAGATTTAACGACCCTTATTTTGTGTCTCCAGCACTTATTTAATAATTCTTCAATTTCTTGCATAACTATGTTCACTCAACTGCTTGAATGTTTGGTTTATGTCGGGATACTACTACATCAGAAAGCCCTACCTAATTTCACCCCATTTTCAGCAAGCACTACACAAAATGCGGATCATTTGGTTTCGTTTGACTTTGATGTTGGTGAGGAGAAAAAATTTACACTTTGGCGCAATCCTTCCAGATACTTGCATATTCAACGACCATCCTGTTTAATACCTCTAAGTCCCAATAAAGTACCCTTCCTGAAAGCCAACGACGTGAGACCCTTTTATCTGGTTGTTGTTGATGATGGTGGAAATCTGGTGTCTTCCCAAACCGAAGGTTTGTGCGATTATTACGCTTCCATTTAGTCCAGTTGAAGTCATTGGAGTACCAATGGGAGTCTCAACAACTTGGCGCATTCGTATGCCCTCATGGTTGCCAACACCGTCTGACTTTGTCAAAGCAACTATTGAGCCCACTGGTAATGATATTCTAAATAAAAGGCTAATTGCTGCCACTTTTACAGGTTTATTTTACATAATTTGGCTATTTGTTGTTATGCTTGCATTTACCTACAATGTCGTGGCGATTCCATTCCGTGAGGCCTTTGACATTTACGATCGGGCAGAGGATCAAAAATCGTGGATGGCTTGTGACAGCGTGGCTGATGCCATCTACTTGGCAGACTTAATCATAATAAAGCCGAGGATACAATTCATTGAAGATGGCTTTGTCACGGTAATTCAACATCTCCAACCATGCAATCAGTGAACTTTTAGGTGGACTACCAACGATGTGCAAGGCACTACCTGAAACAATTGAATTTTAAGGTGGTTGACATTACCTTAAGTGAACACCTTGATCACTTTCTGACATTTTGATTTCAGTTGGATGTTGCATCGGTGCTTCCGTTCGACTTGTTGGGCCTTATCCATGGAAAACCGACAGCAAGATACAGAATTCTTCGCTTCTTAAAGGTTTGCTTATCTGAGTTCTACTTATTTGGTAAATCATTTACTCCAGTTACGTACTTTAAAGTGAGGCATTGGACAATGCCTGTGGTTTGGATACCCGGTGAGCCTGTATCTGTTCAGACAATACGAAAGTGCTGTAAAGTAGCTCTAGATGGATGAAACACATTTAAAAGAGTTGTCTCATTCTTTAGCTTAATTACTTATTGACAAATTGCTAACCCCTTCCATTGCTAGTTTCCTGTTATGCTCGAATTTTTTGATCGAACCGACCTGCGTGTCAGCGCCGGTTTTGCAGTCCGACTGGCCAAAACATTTGCCTACCTAATCTACGTTATTCATGTGGAAAGCTGCGGCTATTATGCTTTCAATCGTTTTCACGGTCTCAATGCCAGCGTTTGGTCGATTGGTAACCAGAACAATAATCCGTAAGAATTTGCAAACTCAATGTTCTTTCACATTGCTAAACTACTCAGTTCAAAAGCCAGACCTTCTTTGTAGGTACATCTACTCATTTTATGTGGCTACTAAAATGGCCACTTCGATCGGTAATCTGCCTCATGCTACTAATACTCTTGAGTTTATCTTCATGACCGTCTATTGGCTGGCTGGAGCCTACATTTCCGCCATTCTGATTGGTCAGGTCAGCACGTGCACCTAAAAATTCGCATTAGACTTGCTATCCTTACAATTTCCATTTTGTCAGGTGATCGATATTTTGGACAATAAAAGGGCGGAAAATGAGGCCTACAAGAAGTTAATGAATGCAACTCTAACCTACTTAAAGCGCATAAAAGCTCCCGAAAAGGACATTGTTATGGTGAGGACGTGGTTCAACTACAGCTGGAGCCAACAAAAGACTCTTGGTACTAGGCGGGGATTAATTTTACTCATTTTTTATTTAGATGAAAATATGCTGATTGATACACTTCCATTAAAGTTGAAGAAGGATGTACTGATTGATGTCCATTATCAAACTTTGAGCAAAGTGTCGCTGTTCAAAAACTGTGAGAGGACGATGATTTTTGACCTTATAGGCAAACTCAAACCTGTAATCTTCTTACCAGGGGCTTTAATCTGTGAGAAGGTAAGTATGTAGTTAAAAATCGGTTCAACGTGATCACTTCACTCCTCCCCCTTTCCTGGGTAATAAACAACTTCCAAATGATCTAAAAATAATTTTGATATAAAGTTGCGGTATGCCATACTGGATAATAAGTTGTCAAAAACGTTAGAGTAGTAGACAACGAAACATAGCCTTCAGGCAACTCACCATCTCCACTGTCTTCCTATCTCATATCACTAAATCCCTTAGAATGGAGGCACTACTGACACTCTTCCCATTGGAATCGTCAAATGGTTGCATTGTTATTTTTTCCAATCATATATGCCAAATGGATTGAACAGAAGGAGAGCCAAAGTGGAGCCGAAAGTAGGGTCTCATGAGTTAGGCCTCCTCAACAAATTGCTTTGTAAAAGACAGGCCTGTTGTACTGTACGATGCTGTCTGTGGACATGTGACAAAACCGTTATTCAACTCCACCTCTGGTCAAGTCAAGATGAGTACTTGAAGACGCATTCCTTGCATTTCAATAAATTTTGTCACACACAAAGACAAAAAGCAATTGGTAAACTCGTCACCTTAAGTATACAGAACGGATAATTAGTGATTTGTGAAGTAAAAAAGGAAATTTGGTTGGGGTTAAACGAAGAAAACGTGATGAGGGAGAGCATCTAGGGGAGAATCTCCCTCTCCAGTGTGAAGGGAGAGATGGCGCAAAATTATATGCTCTACGGTTTGTATGCTTTTATATAGGGAGAGGTTGGAATGGAGATGTACATTGTGAAGCAGGGTCTCGTTGAAGTTGTTGGCGGTCCAGACAATTCAATTGTCTACGTCACTCTCAAGGAGGGCAGTGTTTTTGGAGAAATAAGGTGAGAAATCTTCCCCTTCCCCTTCCCCACATGGTGAAATTTTTGTTGCCATTTTACTGTGATACAAGTCAAGTTGGGTTCATTTGTTTGCTTAAGTTTGTTGGCGCTAAAGGGCAAAAATATACGCACAGCTACAGTTCGCTCCAAGGGCTACTCGACCCTCTTTCGGTTGACCAAGTCGGATTTTGAGGAAGCCATGAAAAATTACCCCACCGCCTATAAACACCTCAAAAGAAAGGCGCAGTGAGTATGGGCTTTGGCATAAAATTGCTTTTGCTTAGCTTTACGATGACGAGACTTACGCTTCTTCAGGAAAATGCTCACAAAAGACAAGAAGAAGGAAGAGGAAGGAAAACTAAAGCCTACGGGGGTTAAAGAATCTACAAGAGAGGATAGAAATGGATCAACTGAAAGCCTTGAAATCATCCCAGAATGCCGCAAACTTCCCAACATGTTTATGGCCGTGGATCAGGTAGAGGCTCTAAAAGTGATTCAAGAATCAGCTCTAAAACAACTCTCAATTTCATCTTGTCTGTCTTCAGGTAATGGGGCGAATGAGAAAATGCAGAATGCAAAACGTAGAGAGTCCAGAGGTGAGACCTACACCATGTCATTGTTTTACTGAAAACTCACAACGTTGTGCGTGTAACGAAAGTACGCGCATTTGAGTTAGACCCATTTCTCTAAAGTAAGGTGAGAAACAAAACAAAATCACCTTGGATAAGAGTCACTTCATGAAAATCAACCTTTCATACATAAGATTTGCCTTCACAACCTATAAAGTAGATCCAAAGAACTTATGAATTATTTCCTATTTATTTAATAAACACTACAATATGGAGTCACAACTAGTAAACACTTGAGCTAGCAAAGAAGGATTCTGGAAAGCTGTACTGCAAGAAGGTCAGTAGAAATGAAATAACGCCATCAATTCCAAGGTCGGACAAAATGACGACCCAACGTTGGACGAGGACATTAGCAGCTTGACTGAAGAAAGTATCGCAAGCATGGGTTCAAGGAAAAGTCTGCGACAATCGTCAAATTGACAGCATTTTCATTTCACAAGCACCAACACTACAGGAACTTATTACAGGAAGGTGGATTATGTATAGGAGATCTTACCCTTCCCCTTCTGCGATGTTTGAATGCAAAAACAACTTTAACTATAAACAATAAACTGCACAAATTTATTGAAAAACAGATTTT